AGAAAGGAAAACTTGAAATCGCATCATATGACCCCTTTAAGGCCAAGACTATTTAAAAGAGGTGAAGCATTATTCTACAAAATGTAACAAACATCTTCAACAAACATGCCTTTAAGATTTAGAGAAACAACCTCCCTGAAATATGATCAATGTACAAAGATACATGTTCTGACAGCAACACCCTTCACTCACCTTAGCGGGATCTTGATAGCAATGTAGCGGTCGATGGCAATGGCTAGAAGGCTAAATATGGAGCTCTGGGTCAGCACTAGGACGAAGCAGGCGATGAACAGACAACCGTAGAAATTGGCACAGAAACCAGTGCTAATCACGATGGAGAAGGGAATGGCCAGCACACCCACTGCGATGTCTGCCACGGCCAGCGAAACGACAAAGAAGTTGGTGATGCTCTGGAGGTTGCTGTTGAGGCCCACTGCCCAGCAGACCAACACGTTGCCCAGGACCGAGAGCAGGGCAATCAGCAGCTCCAGAATCATGTACAACACGTCGAAGACATTGTTCAGCATGGTGAGCTTGCTGGGGAGAAACGACGATGCCTCGCCTCAATGTCCATAGCTGCAGCTCCACGCAACAGCCACCTCACGAGGCCAGAAGACCAATAATCAAGTGTTACCTTGTTAAAAACGTTCCAGATTGTTGAATCACCAATTAAAAATAAAAACTTGGTAAATATTTTAAAAAGTATCTACAGACATTTCTCCTCAGATTTTTTTAAGAGATATTTGGTATTAAATAATAATTTGAAAATCCATTATGATCCCATGTCATGGCGTTAGATATGATGGTCCAGTCCCTGTTCCATGTGTTGCTTACCAGTCTTTCTATAACATTTAGTATTCCACTGCATTCCCTGGAGAAAAAAAGAAAGGAAATTATGTTATCGACTGGGAACCAAGCCTCTGAAGAGATGGACTGAATAAAAACAGATAAAGTAATTAAAGTTAACACACAATTGATTTCATAACTAATTACAAAGAAATGGCAAGTAACACATTGAATTAAAAGCATTTTCTTGTAAAACATATTCCAAGATTCTGTTATTTACAAACTTT